AACAAAATACTTGGGGGTTTCTAGTTTCTACCCAAATTACAAAATTCAAATCCCCACTTGGAAGCGGGAATTGAAGACCAAAGCAAGATAAAAATCTTCTTTATTATCGCATTCCTCCAAGAGACCAGCAATGGCGGAAGGGAGGCAAAAGGAGCCATTGAGTCTCAATCAACGCCACTATCGCTTTCTTGGTGACCTATCCGCTTCCCAAACTAGGCACAAAACTGATGCAGGTAAATCTCACTCACGGCTTCATGTAATTTATGTCGATTTGATTCTATCTTATTCATTTATGGGATCCAATTTTGGCAAGATGATACTGGATCGAGTGTGAATCCTGAAATAGCATTTGACGATGTTCCTCGATTTGATTTCGATTCTCCTCCACTTCCTCGTCAAGGTATTGTTAATTTCATATTCGCTTCCTTTTGGCTTGTTTATTCTGTTATTTGATTATATGGTTTTATTTTGTGTGAGGGGAACTGACTTCTTCTTTTGTATTAAAACTTGAAAAAAATAAAGTGGATCTTGAAGAACCTGTGTGGAAGCATAAGGGTTCGTCTCCCAGGCTCTTTGCTGGGATTGCAGATTTTGATTCGCCGTCTTCCACGCTTGGTACTCATTCTGACCCTTCCTATTGGCTTTAGTTCCCTTCATAAATTAAATACTGCACGATACATTTGCCCCTTTATATGAACTTCTAAAGGAAGCAAATTTTAAGTCAAACTCCAGTTCCCAGTACACATTTGGAAGCCTTTGCTTATCTGTCTATAAACACCCTGTCAGCATTTACATTGTTTTGCTTTTTCTGGCACCTGATTCATGCAGTGTTAACTTATATTTGTTTAATATACATAAATATATTTCTGGTTCTTGCTACAAATTTTGCTTGAAAGCTTCTGGAATACATAAAAGTAGCAAGATTACTGAAGAAGATGGCTATTCTTCCGAAGCTGATCCGATTATTTCTGACCCGGACAAGTGTAATTCCCACCTTCCAGGTGAATAATTTGAATTTCTCATCATTAGAGCCGACACATTTCTTTTTTTAGCTCCTTTCCCTCTAGTGTTTATTGTTAAAATTATGATTTTTTTTATTATTAATATTTTTTAATATTTCACTGGATTGAGCAGTCGATGTGGAACTCGAGACAGAGGAGCTACAGAGTAGTGAAATGCCTGCAGAAGTAGTTGATGCTGCCAAGACAAAATCCTCATTATCTTGTAATGCTGATTTTGATTCCAGTTTTCCTGGTACATATGGCTCTCCTTGTTGTCTAGTATATCTATTACATCATCAGAGATGTGATTTATTTCATTTCCTACAATATATTAGGGGAAGAAAAGCAAACAAAAGTGAGAATTGAAGGAAGGCGTCGCCTCTGCAAAATTTCAGAGAGAAACAAAAGTGATAATGTGGCAGTTAAGAGTCTTGTAAGCACTGAAAGACCAAAACATGATGGTATTTCGGATTTTGATTCCCCTCTTCAGGTGAATAAACCACATGACAATAATGGAAATGAAATAAGAGATATCTTGAATGATTTGAGTTCAAGGCTTGAGTTTCTTTCCATTGAGAAGAAAAGGGTTCCTAAGAAAGTTGATTTGACCGAGGATTTCGAGGACTCATTTAGAAGCAAGTTATATGATGTGACTGTGAAAGAGGGAGACCCTGAATATCAGACTGCCACTTCTTCGAATGTGCTTTTCTCTGATTCCCCAGTGGAGGAAATTGGGTCAAAAGTTGAAGCTGTTATTTTCAACGACTGCTCGGAAAAAACTTATTTTGCTGACAGGAAGGAGAATGGTGATGTTGGTAAGACGAATAGAATCATGCATAAGCGTGAAGGACATAGCAATGTTGATCGTATGAAGGTGCCTGTAAGGTTAGGTGCTACTAAGGATCGAACTTACGACTACAGGAGAGAGGAGGAAAAGTATGCTGCACTGAGTGAAAAATACTTTGTTAAGCAAGTGGGTAGGGCAGAAGAGAAGTTTATCGAAGTGTCTGATGATGAATCTGATGATATCACAACATTGAATGATGATGTTGACGAAATCACGTTGAGTGGCCTGAAGGGTACATATAAGTTACCTGGTAAAATTGCAAAAATGTTGTATCCCCATCAGCGTGAAGGACTTAAGTGGCTCTGGTCTCTTCATTGTAAGGGTAAAGGTGGCATTTTGGGTGATGATATGGGTCTGGGAAAGACCATGCAGGTAAAGAAAAATTCCATTTATAAATGAACCATCAAGGCTTCTATTGAGGCCCCTTGCTTATTAATTTACCTTAGTCTGGTTCCATTTCAGATGTGTAGCTTTATAGCTGGATTATTCCACTCAAATTTGGTTCGGAGGGTTTTGGTTGTTGCTCCAAAAACACTATTAACGCATTGGATAAATGAACTATCAACAGTTGGGCTCTCTGAGAAGACGAGGGAGTATGCCATTCTCATAATACATAGTTTTTCCTTAACTGTTGTTAGTCCTATCATGTAACACTTATCAGAGTTTGCACCATTTTATTTTCTGTAGGTACTTCTCAACTTGTACAAAAACTCGCCATTATGAGCTCCAATATGTACTTCAGGTTTTGTTTCTTACTTTTGTTTGTTGATGCTTTCTATGGAGTATAAAAGCAAGAAACTGCAATTCTTTGTCAGTCTACTAAGCTGACAAAAGCAAAGTTCTAGTCTTTGAACAGTCTATCGACTTTCCTCTGTATTTGAACAAAATAGTTACAGACAAGAAAGACTATACTGCAGTTGTTTTTCTTCTCATGCAGCTAATGTCCAGAAACACAATCAGCTTTGACTGATTGGCTGATAATTAAACTGTCGCGATTCCTTGACAGTGTGTGTTTATTACCTACTATTTTCACGTCAACTGCTGTTCCTTTTTCAGTCTTGCTCATGTGATTCGAAGGTCATTGCAAAGCATTTTTGATTGGATATAAAAATTTTTGGTTTTGTTTGAATTTTTTTGTTTGGTTTGGTTAGTTTTGAAAAGTTGGTATGTTTAGTTGTTAGTGGATATATTAAAATAATATTTAAAATTAAATGATTAAAGTTGATTTGATGTAAAGTAAGAGAGAGGAGATTTGAAGTGATGGTTAGTTAAAATTATGTGAGTAGATGAATAGTGAATTAAAGTGATGTGGTGTGTAAGAATGATGATTTGATATTATTTAATTATATTGATAATATTGATGATAGTGGGGATGAGTTAAAGTTGAGTTAAAAAAGTGGTTGAGTTAAAAATGTTTGGATTTTTTTGAGATAATTTTGTATCCAAGCATGCATTTGATTTTTTCCTCAATTATATATTCAGCAGAGTATTAGTTTGAGCAAGAAAATTTAGAACTTTGCAATTGAACAATACACACACACACATTATATATTATTTATTATTCTGTGTGTGTGCGTATGTCAAAAATGGTTTCCTATCCTTCACAGACTAATTTTTTTTTTTCTCTGTATTCTCCACTGTAGGATAAAGGTGTTCTTCTGACAACATATGATATTGTCCGGAATAATACAAAATCCTTATGTGGGGATTACCGTTACAGTGACGGAGAAGAAGATGAAATGACATGGGATTATATGATCCTTGATGAAGTAAATTGATCTTATTTACTATTTATTGCTGTCATGCAATGATACATTTTCTTTACTAATCATGTGCAATATACTCTTACTTTGAACTTATGGAGTTGCATGATTTTATAAATTACAAAGGTTTCCTGTAATTATTGATTTTTAAATGTTAGGGGCATCTGATTAAAAATCCAAGCACACAAAGGGCTAAAAGTTTGCTTCAAATACCTTGTCGGCATCGCATCATTATCAGTGGCACCCCACTCCAGAACAATCTCAAGGTACTTTTGTTGTTTCTTTTGAGCTTCTCCTTATTAGGATGACTGTTCCTAATGTTTTTTTCCTGCTCAGGAAAAGTCTATAGGAAAATACTGACTCACTTTTTGTGTCTCTCTTTGTTACGTTCTAGGAACTTTGGGCTTTGTTTAATTTCTGCTGTCCTGAGCTCCTTGGTGACAAGAAAGAGTAATGATCGTACCATGCTCATGTAATAAAGCTTTGTTAAGTTACTGTTGCATTAACTGATTCTTTCCTCTTATTACCCGTTTTCTCAGGTTCAAGGAAAAATACGAGCACTTCATCAGCCGAGGAAATGAGAAAAATGCATCTGATAGGGAAAAGCGTATTGGTTCATCGGTTGCCAAGGTCATTGCTTGACATTTTTTTTCTTCACATTGGTTAATTAAATGTAGTAATTATTCAATTTGTTTCACTTATGGATTAAATATGTGAAATCTTTTTCGTCAAATTTTCTTTGCTTTAATATTGTTCCTCTGTACGTGATTCTTAAGTAGATTCCGCAACATGTTAAATGTGTTTTCGTGATTTTACAAATTGGCATGTCAAAGAAAATCCATAAGCTCATCTTATAAGCTTTTAAAATTTGTAGGACCTGAGAGACTGTATTCAACCATATTTTTTAAGACGATTGAAAACTGAAGTATTTCGTGATGATAGCACGCTTTCCAAGAAGAATGAGATTATTATATGGCTACCGTTAACTCAATGTCAGGTACATGGTCAACACATTTTATTTCATACTGTTCCTGATGAAATTTGTCATTTTTAGTTTTGGTATTGCTGAAGTAATGTTTGTAATTTTATGAATCCAGCGTCAAATCTATGAAGCTTTCTTAAAGAGCGAGATTGTCATCTCAGCTTGTGATGGTTCCCCGCTTGCTGCACTTACGGTAATATGTGAAAAATTATCTGCTTTATGTGATTTTTACGTGGTCGTTCTCTTCATTCCACCTCCTTGGGATGCTTCATGGGCGTATAAAAACTTAAGCTGTGGTTTTTTCTTTTCTATTTACTATGTTCTTTGTCCAGCAATGTTTGGCTTACCTAACCAATGAGTTTTTGGTTGCTAAAGTGATAACTCTGGCATCTTCTCTCAATCTAGTGAATTATACTAATCTGTTTGAAACTTCCTTGGTTTCTATAATTTAGCTTTAATAATTGAATTGCGAGGAGTTAAAGCAAGGAAGTTCGAACCCATAAGGAATCTGCATTTGTTTCCACAGTTGTCCTTTGATCTGTTTTCACTGTGGATACATACTTTTTTTAGATGCTTTTGCAGCCAGGAGAGTAAATGTCAAGCAAGGATTTATAAATACAAAACTCATCTTTGTTATACATAACTGGTCCTTGCATTACTCATATGTAGCTTGTGCACATCTTCGCTTCAGAACATACCTCAACTCCTTGACCTTGGCACCTGATAGATTTGATATGAAGATGACTCATCATTTATCCTGATCAACTGAAAAAAGAAAAAGCTTTGCTTTTGTTGTGATCAATTGATCATGAAGCTATTAAGGGGGTCATTTTTGACTTTGGAAAAAAATCGTTTAACTATGGTCAGGGCAATATTTTTTATCGACTTGCTGCTACACATGGACTTGTGCAGGTTTCAGTATCTAAGTGATAATAAATGGTGTGATATTTCTCTCTTTCCTGAAATCATAATCAAAGTGCTATCACTTATTCACAAGTTGCAACAAAAGAAATTATGTATAGGCCTATAGGGAGATCCAAAATCTAACAAGTTCCCTACAACAATGATGTTTTGTAAAATGATTTTTTAAGCTCTCTGTACTATATATAAGCAGATCCCAAATTTTCAGAAGGATAATGTTTCTGTTGAACCAGATATTAAAAAAGATATGTGACCATCCACTTCTGTTGACAAAGAGAGCTGCTGAAGATGTTCTCGAAGGAATGGATTCAATGGTGAACCAAGAAGATCATCGTGTCGCTGAAAAGTTGGCAATGCACATAGCAGATGTTGCCGAGAGATTTGATGTTGTCGACAATAATGATATGTCATGCAAAATATCATTTATATTATCATTGCTGGTATGTCCTCAAGTAAAGCATTATGTAGCAATGCATTCTGCATAATAATTGACGTGTAATGTTTTGTTACAGGCTGATTTAGTTCCAAATGGACATAATGTGCTTATCTTTTCACAAACACGGAAGATGCTTAATTTAATCCAGGTTAGTCTAATTGGTTGTTTATGCTTTAAAAGGAGAGCACATCCGTAGCTCACATTCTTTTAAATTTAGACTGTCATTCAATATAATGCTTTCAAATGGGGGTACATGTTGTACCTTGTGGCCCTAAGTGATGGACAAGATTTTGTCACAAATTTCTGCTGGGGCTGAGAGTAGCCATAAATTTTATATTTTAGATAACTCCGAAACTTACAGTGAGAGTGGTCTCACAAAATGAGACAGAGAAATTAGTGATACTGATAGTAGGAAATTATTGAGTTACTGTAACCTTTAGGATAAATTTTAGGCACATAGGCACAGTTAGAATGAGAATTTTGACTACGCCCTTCCTTGGAAATAATGGTTACGATTGGATATTCTTTTATTTGAGTGAATTTTTTTCATTGACGAATGAAATGTAGCGGGGGAATTAATGATTGTTTTAATGTATAGGTGATATGAAATAATGAGGAATAGTTAATTGTTATGTGATAGAGAAACAGTAAAATGATTGGTAGTCTTAAATATTTGAGCGGATGAGTAGCAGATTTTGTAGATAAATGTGTTGTAATGATTGATTCTCAATTTAAAAATTCTGTTGAAATATGTGAGTGGACTAGAGGCAAAAAATGTTAAATGGATGAATAGTGAACTTTTTGATTGGCGGATGACTTAATGAGATAGAATGTGTATCCAATTGTAAGCATCTTTACAGATTCTACAACCGGATGCATTAAACTTCTTGTCTTGATTTGGTGGAAAGTGACTATTTTCTAGCTATATTATTCTTTTCAGGAAACATTGACATCCAACCGTTACAAATATATGCGGATAGATGGTACCACAAAAGTCGCTGATAGAGCTAAACTCGTAAAGGTTTGCTTCTGTTTAATGCATATTAATGGAAGATCTTCAAACAAAAAGATTATTTCTCTTACCTATTTTTCTTTATTCTGAAGGATTTCCAAGAGGGTCGTGGAGCCCCAATCTTCCTCTTGACTTCCCAAGTTGGTGGATTAGGCCTTACACTTACTAATGCAGATCGTGTCATTGTGGTTGATCCAGCATGGAATCCAAGGTTTCTATTTATAAGTTTACAATTTCCTGTCATGAAAATCTGTAGTTAATATCTTAATCAAATATGTACCACAATAATTGCCATTGCAGATTATTTAGAAAATATATTTCTTGTTTTCAGGGTGTTTATGTTGAGCTTAACTATTTGATTTTGACAAACGATAAGTTATTTTGTTGCTTTTGTCCGATCATTTATGGAAACTATTACTGAGTTGATAAGTTTACCATTTATGCAGCACTGACAATCAGAGTGTAGATCGTGCATACAGGATTGGGCAGAAGAAGGATGTCATCGTGTACAGACTAATGACATGTGGCACTGTGGAAGAGAAAATTTACAGAAAACAGGTCAGTAGCGTTTTTCCTTCTTCTTTGTTTTTCTTTCTCAGTTCTTGTAAATCAATAGCCCTACTGCATTTTAGTTACTTTCTGCTGAAGATTCTTCTGGAGATTTCCTGAAGGAGATGTATCATCCTACAAAAGCCAAATGTGCTAATCTCACTAGCTGTCAATTGGCGTTAAACTGCTATTGGTCACTTTTGCCTTTTATTCATTTGTTACATTTATGGCCTAATGACAGTCCTGCTTAAAGTCTAGATTTAATTTCATTGAAATAATTTTATTTTATCATGTTTCAATTAGTCTTTTAAGTTTGAGTCCTTTTGTATTATACTTTAAATTCGTGATGCAGGTATTCAAAGGAGGATTGTTCAGAAGTGCAACCGAACATAAAGAACAGATCCGTTATTTCAGTCAACAGGTGTTTCCCATTAACTAAATGTTTATGCAGCTTTGTTAAACAGAATCTGTGTGTGCTTTAATGTATGAATCTTGAGGTATGCACAAATTGTGTACGGAACTGATCGATAACTTCAAGAAAAGGAATATAGTTTTGTGTTTGATCAGTACAGTGATCAATGTTCAGTGTTCTTAAGTATTGTGTATGCACTAACTGGTAAAAAATGGGTTGGTTCTGGGTAAGCTGCACCTAAGTTCCCCCGTTTCACATTTCTTAAAGAAATTGTCCAAATGAGCTAGTGTTCATATTTGGCTGCATGCTCTAGTGTTGTGCATGAAATATCACTCAGTGCCATTGCCGTGTTCAAATTTTCAGGATCTGAAAGATCTTTTCAGCATTCCCAAACAAGGGTTTGACATATCACCTACTCAACAGCAGTTGCTAGAAGAGCATGATCGTCAGCACACAATGTAATAATGAGTTTATCTGTTATGCGCACCTCATTGTTTGATTCACCAGAATAACTTTGTTGTTCTCATGGCTTCGAACACGCACTATTTATGCTCTATTCTGCACTTGTTGTCAAAGATTTGATTTGTTAGAATCATTCACTATTGAGTTCTTTTACTTTCAAGATTGTAATTGTTACCTTTATTTTTTTTATTTTTTTTATTGTTTTTTTCTTTTGTGCAGGGAGGAATCTCTTAGGGTACACGTCGAGTTCCTTGAAACTCTCAACATAGCTGGAGTTAGCCACCACAGTTTGCTCTTCTCCAAACCGGCACATTTAGAAGCAGTTGAAATAGAGGAGGAAACAGAAAGGTGAATGCTTATGTTAGATTTTAGGGTAGCCTCCAGTTAGTTATATTTGAAAGAGAATCTCATTCTCACCCATTTTGAATATAGGCCAAGAGTGAGTAGGTTTGTGGGGAATGCATTTGGACGCCCATCGTTCGAACGTGATGTTGACGGGTACTTAAAGAAATTACATTCACTCCTGATCTTGTTGATGAATGAGTTTCGGTGCTGTGAAGAGAGAGTTATTTATCTGTGCAGGGGCAGGTCACAGTATGCATTCAATCCTATGGACATAAAGAAAGTGCAGAGGAATGCAAATCCCGACGTTAAGGAACCAACCGAATATGAAATCAGAGAGAGAATCGATCGCTTATCTCAGATCTTTTCTAACAAGGTTTGTATCGATTTTTTACTTCAAAGAATCTCAAACAAAGTTGCTTATGCCTGATTTTCCATTCTTCTAAGTCTTTTACCATGTTTGTGGCTCTTTATTACCATGATCGTCGTGTATATTACCAGGTGGCAATCTCTAGGCTGCCTGATAGAGGAGAGAAAATACACAGGCAAATATCTTCATTGTACCATCAGCTTGATCAGTTGCAAATGGCAAGAGCATCAGCAAACAAGGACGACATTATTGAATTGTAGGATGCTTTTCTTTCTAACTCTAGAAATTTATTCCCTTGGGACTTTTTTTCAACTGTCATTATTTTGATGACGGCATACTGTTAACTATCAATCTTTTTTGTTCGCTTCATATCATGCAAGCTTTGTTTGCTAATACCACCATTAATAATCCAAAATATATATATGTTTTTTAGCTTTGTCAATAAATACCATTAGTACAACAACCGTGTATTACACGAGTGCTTGTTAAAAAATTATTCTTAAATTTCAAAATTAATAATAAAAATTATTTTAAATTTTATTTACTTTTTTACAAAAAAAAAATATTATTATATATTTGAGATTGATATTTGTTACTTGTGCGACTTACATGTGTTATAATATAATAAATTTTTTAACTTATACTCCCTCCTATTCATTATAAATGTCATTTTGACTTTTTTGATTCATCCATTTTGTTATGTATCTAGACATATTAATGTCTAGATATATAATAAAATGGATGAATCACAAAAGTCAAAACGACATTTATAATGAACATGAGGTAGTATCATATAACTAGTTGAAATATTAATATATTAAATGATAAATAATTTTATTTTTTAATTAATATTAAAAAATAATTTTATTATTGTTATAAAGATATATATAATTTATTTATTTTATAAAATAAGAATATGGATGTTAAATCGAAACTCATCAAGAGATGATTAATTTGATATATTATATATGTGAAATTGATAAAAGATACAGAAGTTATTAACTTTTGAAATACACTAGTACAACACCCGTGTATTATACGGGTGCTTGCTAAATTTTTTTTTCTTAAAATTTGAAATTAATGAAAAAAGTAGTTAAAAATTTAAATACTTTATATATATATATATATATATATATATATATATATAGTTGGGTTCACATGAGAATGATACTTAGTGAAAGAAATAAGAATAAATTGTAGCCATTAGATCACATGATCTAATGGCTAAAAAAATGCTTATTTTCCAAAGGGTAAATTAGTAACTACAACATCAAAAAATTAAATAACATGTAGGACCCACGTCACCCACCATAAATAAAACACCACACCACCTCAAACCAATTCAATTCTCGTTCACGTCACTGTCCCTCTCATCTCTCTCTCTCTCTCTCTCTCTCTCTCTCTCTCTCTCTCTCTCTCACACACACACACACACACACACACACACTAACACACACAGCTCAGCACACACAATTATCACACACAAAAAACCCGTTGCCACCATCGTTTCACCATAGCCACCCGCGGCAGCGCCGCCGCCATTGGCTTCCCACTAGAGCATCTTGCCACCGCCAGAGGCTCACTCACACACCAACGCCGGAGCATCGTCGGGCTGCCAGCTGGACTCTGTTTAGATTTATCTGCGGCGAGAACTTGTTGTGCCTTGTCGCCCGTCGCCTGCGCCGTCCTCCATCGCCGGCGTCATCCCCATCATCACCGTCGCCCGAGTCATCGGAATCCTATTGCGTCGACCTCCGTTGGAATCCTCAAATTTCGCCAGAATCCTGTCGCGTCGCCCTCCGTCGATCGCGTCTCACCGTCGCCTCGACTTCCGCCGGAATCCTGTCTGCCCGACAGCCCATGAGCTGCCACACTCAGCTCACATACAATTATCACACACAAAAACCACGTCCGCGGTCCGCCACCATCGTTTCACACAGCCACCCCCGCGCCGCCGCCGCTGCTGCTCACGTCCTTCCTGCAGCTCAAGCAAGGCCATCGTCGGCGTGATAGGTGGAGATACACCGATCTGAAGATCTGAAATTGATGTGAAATTGGGCCTTTATTGTGAGAATTAGATTATATACAAGTACTTGTTTGAAATTTTAATTACTTTGAATATATTTCAATTTAACTCATATGTCAAATCTGTAATTATTGAAAGTTAATAAAATAATAATTTCTATATATATTGTTATGCATATATATTAAATGACAAATATATTATTAATTAAAATAATACAAAATATTACAATAATGTAGAATTAATTTATATCAATAAATAAATTTATTATAAATAATAAATAAAAAGACAATTTATTTGTTTTTGTTAGTTTCGACGTGCAATTATATTTATTAAAACTAGTTCTTGTATACACATAATGTGTCTTGGAAAATTGTAGATTACTGCACTTTATATAGCGAAATATTGTATTTTGTAAAACAACACGTCACACTTTATAGAACAACTCATTGCATTTTATTATCATTCCGTAATTAATGTCAAAAAAATATCTATTAATATATAATAAGGATTAACTTAATTAATTTTTAGAAACTATTTCCCGCCAAAAACATTAATTACTGCCTATAAATAGTAATTTAACAAAACAAGCATTAATTGCACATAATTTGCTTTTTTATATTAATTTAAATGTACAAATATCCGTATATATCTATACAAATATCCGTACAAACAAGCATTAATTGACTTACCAAACGTTCTTTTTGATATTAATTTAAAGGTACAAATATCCGTATATATTTGTACACCCTCAATGTTATTTTAATAAATATATTTAAAAAACTCTATAAATCAGTTGGTTTTGAAATAAGCGATAAAAATGGTAATGATATTTTTTGGATTTCGGTACAATAAGGAGAATTTTTTGGAAGCTACATAAATTCGTACAAATATTTGTTTTTCTTTAAAATATAGATATATTCGTTTTTCTTTAAAATATAGATATATTTCTTTATAATATACATAATTTCCTAAAATTGCTCTTATTTATTTCCGATTAACAGCAATTGTTTATGGAATAAATCATTATTTCACGCCAAGATTTTCGATTTTTTTTTTGCTACATTAACATAACGTGGAGCATTGATTGCAATAGATATATACTATGGAATACATCTCCTATTTTTAAGCCTCCATATAAATCTATAAATCATTTATATGATAAAATCGCAACAATATCTTTTTATTTAAATAATTTTCATCAAAGTAGCTCAGGGTGTAGTTCCTGCGAACTCTGGCCTGGGGCAAGAACGTGTTACCTCACCATTAAGGGGCATTTCTTTTTGTACTATTGGAGAAATCCTCAACGGCAGGATCACTTTTTCGGTACCAACGTATATAAAAGGATATTCATTACCACAATTATTTCTTCACGTCATTCACAGCGTTCAGAGAAAAAAAAATTATACAGATAAATTTTAGAATACAACAATAATATCATGCCGCCGGTGTGGGTATTACTACAACATAAATAGCTTTAGGTACCACCATTGAATGTAACACTTTACAAATAGGTAATACTTTTGGTAGTTTTTTGTAACACTTATATGATACCTATTTGCAAAGTGTTACATTTGATGCTGCTACCTAAAGCCATTTCCGTGAGTAGCACAAACAAACCTTATTTGCGATTGAAAGCAGTCCGAATATTTGAAACGCATCACGAGCGAGAGAGCTGGAACGCATTCCATATACTGTTTCATGATGAACAGGTAAATATTTTTATTAGTAATACCAAATTTATAAATTTATTTTATAAATTTATTTTTATTAGTATTCCGAATAATTTATTTTTTTGTGAAAAAATATTTTAATTAATATTTATAAATTTATTTTGTAGGGTGCATTTATTAAAGGCATAATACGTTCTACAAATATGGGAGCATTTCGAGGTGTACTGAACGAATGCGAGGTGTATGCAATCAGCAACTATGTCGTTGAATTTAATCATGGGAAGAAAGATATCATAACCAACATATGAAAACTTATGCTTCACAAAAGAACTCGTGTTATCAAATATGGTGGGATTTTCCCTCAAAATGGTGATCTTTTCCCTCAACATTAGCAAGGAGCGTGAGATATTTATGATATTTTAGGGTTTGATAAGAATTCCAATTTACATTATGAATTTGATTGTTATTCCATGTCCTTCAAGGTTATTATTTGTAATATATTTATTATTTTATTAATTTTATTATGTTTTATTGTCATTCCATGTCGTTGAATTATGAATTTTAGTGTTATTATATTTGTTATCGTGAGATGACGTCTCTCATTCATTTCGATTAATGATTCATATGTTCAAAAATGCAACTGACGATCCAAGTTATTTAAAGGACAGAGCTATATTAGCGCCTACTTTGGAGGTCGTTGAGTCTATCAATCAATACATGTCGGATATGAATTCTGCTGAAGGTCGTACATATTTGAGCTCTGACAGTACGTCTAAGCCGGATTCCGGCAATGGCTTTTTGGTTGATCTCCACACACCCGAGTTCTTGAATAGCATTAAGTGTTCAGGAACGCCGAACCATGAGTTGCATTTGAAAATAGGAACTTCGGGCATGTTGTTGCGAAACATGGACCATTCTATGGGTCTGTGTAATGACACATGTTTGGTTGTTACGAAGCTCTCTCCGCATGTTCTTGAATGTGGGATATTGACTGGAGATCACGCAGGTGAGAAGGTGTTGATTCCTCGGATGAACATAACTCCTTATGATGTTAGGGTTCCGTTTAAGTTCCAACGGAGGCAATTTCCCCTTATGGTTTCCTATACCATGACCATAAACAAGAGCCAGGGTCAGTCTTTATCACATGTTGAATTGTTCTTGTAAAAACTTGTTTTTAGTCATGACCAGTTATACGTCGTTGTTTCACGTGTTACTAATAGGAAGGGGTTGAAAATATTAATTTGTGGGGACGATGAGTTACCCAGTAATCAAACTAATAACGTTGTATATAAGGAGGTTTTTAATAATGTTATAACCTTTTACCAATGACGATTTTATGTTTACTTTATGAATGTCATACATATTATAATAACTTTTTAATTAATGACCTTTTAATTTTTTAAAATTTTTTAAAACATGTACTAGCCCGTGCATCGCACGGGTTACATACTAGTAAAATATAAAATATGAAACGTTAAAATAATAAATATAATCATTATAATATATATAATAAATCATATACATTATTTAGATTAATATGATGAATCAATCGAATAAACTGATCAATTATGGTTATTTCAGTTCGTTGCAATTTGAAAAACAACACGTAGCACTTTATAAATCAACTCGTTGCACTTTACCATCACATTCCATAATTAATGCCAAAAATAAATATAATATTAAAAATAAAATGTTAGATTAACAAATATATTTTTTATAATATAACTAATAAATCATATACATTATTTAGATTAATTCGGTGAATCGATCGAATAAAATGATCAATTAAATTGGTTTTAGTTTGGTTTGGATCGAACTTTTAAAGACATCTGCGACAATTGCACAATTGTGTTATACGAATTGCACTCTCGTGACTATAATGATGCACCTTATATGTTCGATTATTTGTTTTTACTTTCAAATCACGGTTATCTCAGTTCGATGTCCGCTTTACTTTTAAAAACAACTTAAATAATCGAACTGACCGAACAATATGAAAAAAATATTATTATTATTATTATTATTATTATTATTATTATTATTATTATTTAAATGTTTATGTATCGAAGGAGTACATTAATAACTATCGTGGTAGACGAATTGCACATTAATAACTATTGTATTGCATAAATAGTGAACAAAACTGAACTATATAATTTTTCGTTTTGAAATTTTATCTTTTAGTTTGATTATCTACTTTTAATATCAAAATATCGTATATTTCGAGTTGATGTCATTTTTTTAATAACCAAACTAACTTAACTATAAAAAAATATTATTATATATATATATATTTAAATAAAAACTTTTCAACCATAAACAAAATATATGTTATTAAATATAACTATAGAAAATGGAATACCTTTTTGCAATATAAATATATATTATTTAAATTATCTTTAGTTAACTCGGTTAATCAATCGAAAAAAGGTACCTGACTTAATTTTAATTTGATTTGTGACAAAAGTCCTGCCGGTTTTTATCACATAATAACCATAGCAAGTGTGCACAATAGTGTTAACCGAATTGCACATTAATAACTCTCGGGTTGCACACCAATGAACGAAATAGACAAAATTAAATTTTTTATTTGAATTCTCATATTTCAGCTCGATTATCTATTTTTACCCTTATAATTTTGATTTTTTTTGATACGATGTCGACTTTGTTTTTAATATAACCATGAAAAAAAAAACGTTTGGTTCAATATGCACACCGTACACCATAGCGTTGGATTAATTGCACCATAGTGTTGGTCGAATTGAACTATAGTGTTGGACGAATTGCACTTCATTAACGGTTGAATTTGGCATAATATTTCGTTTGCATATATATTGAATTTTAATCAAATTATAATATAATATATTAAGTTAAACGATATTATTAAACTAAAAATATTTTTATGATAAATAAAAATTCTATATAATTTATTTAAGTTAATTAATAATGT